CCACAACGCCTTCAGGCGGCACCTGGCCACGCACAAGGAGAGGAAGCGGTACTCCTGTCCACACTGCGACTTCCGGGCCATCCAGAGCACTGCCTTTCGGGTTCGATTGATCTTGTATTCCTAACTACTGCAACACCCCTATATATTTATATTCTCCCTGGACAGATACACCTCGAGAAGCGCCATCCAGACCAGGAGCTGTCCACAATCATCTACAAGTGCGACCAGTGCAGCTTCACCAGCATAAATCAAGGTCTGCTGCACGTTCACCAGGCCAAGCATGAAGCCACAAATCCCAGTCAAACAATAGCTCCAGCTTCAGTTGCTGTCCCGGCGACAAATCAATCACAGATCAAAGTGGAGAGCAGCCTGGTGCTCGCACATTCCAGTACAAACGTGGTGAAGGAGGTGGTCCTGGGTCAGGCGAATGTCCTGCAGGCTTCCTAGGGATGAGGTCCTCCTCTCCGTACATATTCTACGGAGTAGATTGTGCGTGAACCAAGTGCCGCGTAGTTTGTAACGAGTTTTATACCAAATCTGTACCAATGTTACTAGCGTTAAGAATGCAGGAGAGATCACTTCAAAGGGGAAATTTTGTTTTTGTGCCAAAATCCACTTTCTATAGCCTTCTCTGAAGAAGTATTTTGATGGATTTGAAAATGGTATACCTTTGCAGTGATGTTCTAAACTTCGGATTTCACCGATGATATTTTCTTTGACTATCGATTTTCTTTTCTTGTACAAGTTTACTTAGAAATTTAAGAATCTGTTTTTGTACATACGTATGTATATAAAGGTTAATTGGGAAAGGCTTTATTAAATAGAACTTCAGTTTGATTCCCTTAGTGTATATAGCAAGCCCAGAACAGAAATACATTTACAAATCTCAAACCCAATCCTCTTTAAAACTATGGAATATTTGAGAAATGATAATGGCACTGAGCGAATTAACAGAATTCGGGCTGGAGCGTTCAGAATTATAAACCGAAAGGTCACCTTTTTTTTATCAGATTGTAATATTATTTGGCATGGGAGCCTTAGAGTAATAATATACAAATGCTTTTTGTTGCCCATAACAGTAACATTAATTGATAAACGAGCTGTCAGTCAGCTTAATGGATGCGCCTCGGCCAGCGGAAGTTGGAGACGGTCGTATCGACGCCCTCGGTCATCAAGTGGTAGATGACGTTCCAGTGAAGCATCTGTTCCACGGCCAAGCCAAAGATGCCGCAATAGCAGCCCAGGGCGAAGACCAAGCTGTTTGAGTTGCTTTCCTTTGCCACGTGGGAGATCGCCCGGAGTTGCAAGTATACGTTGAACGCGAACTGGACAACGCAAACCAGGACCCAGGGCATGATGGCCAGGAAGACTTTCTTCGGGTGCTTCGCTAGCAAGCGCGCCGGGAACATCAAATAGGGCGACATCGCCAAGATGGTCAGCATCAGGGACACGATAGCGGTGACCACGATATCCGGGTAGAGGAAACTCGCGGTGGGCCTATCTCTTGAGACAAGCTGCGTATGCAGCGTGACCAAAGGAGCCACTATAATCGTCGTCAAAATCGCCGTTCCGTAGAGCAGCTGGATCACGATCTCGCGACTCATCTGGATAGTGTTTCCAAAAAATTTGTAAAATTCAGTAAAAATCGAAAATATTCAAAGTCCGATACAAGCAGACGAAATTTAGTACTTGTTCATAAGGGGTGTCGAGTTGCTTTGATGTTTAAGCTATAGCCTACTTTGATATAAAGAAAATAACATCATTGTAGTAAAATCAGTATTAGGAATATCTAAGCAGGGCCTATCTGTACAGGTACTATGTACCCAGAATAAATTTGTGTGATATAGATAATTATAATCTTAAGTTGATTTATTTCCTTGGTAAATTTTAGGAAGAACACTTTTCCACCGAACCTTTTTTCTAAAATTTTTTGGTCATTAACATTGCCACGAAAATACAGATTAAAACCAGTTTGAACTATTATATTCAATATTTTAAGCCTTTAATGGGAGAAACTTTCTTTGCGTTTATACAAAATTTAATTACACCTTTTTGTTTTTCTTGCTCTTGCACTTGTTTTTTTTATTTGTAACTAGAATTTATTAGATGTGTTTATTAAATATACAATAGGGAGGAAACGGAAATAGACGAACGTCAGAGGAGCTCTTAGAGGTAATAATCGAGTCGACTTGCTGGGGATCGAATCGAAGTGAATATCCTAGAGCGAGTGTCGTTTAAAGGTAATCGTAAAACTACAGGAGGAAGCATTTGATATGTTGTAAAAATGTTTAAATATATATATATATTAATGTATACATATCATATTGAGCTTATCTTACGTAATGCGTGTTAATGTGTTGGTAAAATTACAATTGATTTAAATAATTAATAACAATTGGTTGGGAGCGGGTTTAGTTCAAGCCGTGATTCTTTTTCGATTCGCTCTCCTTATAGCGCTTTTTGTTCGGTCTCCTATTCCTTGGCACTCTATGCAAGTCTTACTTTATCTTTAACCTTAATTATGATTAGCCTTACTATTTGTTAGTTCTCATAGTTATGTTTAAATCAATTGCGTCTTGAGTATTTTTGCTATAATTTCATTGGGTCTCAGTGTGTCCGAGTGTGGGGTGTGTGTTTCATAATTTACAGACTTAAGAATTATTTAACAACATTGAATGTTTCTTTAACGCTTTTAGTCTGGCCTAACTCTAGTCTAACTCTTAAGGATTGCTTTCGGGGACGCCTTTTCAGGGGTCTGGGGCATTTTTATCCAAAAGGTCAGAAAATGATACACGATGAAACATAAGTAAGCCTCCAGTCCCTCGAGCACGTCCCCTCTATCCCGGATTTCCCTTCCTGGCGCTGAAGAACATCCTGGCCACTTTGCCCAGCGCCCCCACGAAGTCCCATCGCTCCCCAGCCGTCTGGGTCCCACTGGATGCCACAGATCCTTCCTGGTGATGATGGTGGTGGTGGTACTGGTCCTGACAGGACTGCGGAACCTGCCCCTGGTCTTCTATCACCTAGGAGGGCGTGGAGTACCAGCCGCTGGCCGGGCTGCCCTTGTGGTAGAGGTGGAAGCTCGAGTGTGGAGCGAAGTACTGCGGCTGGTCAAGATTACTGTAGGTCACCCCGCCCTCGGTGGTGGTGCTGCCAGAGGGATGCATTGTGGCCGTATATGATGCCTGGGGCTTTAGCGGCAGCGTAGCGGGCACACCGTCTCCGGCGGAAGTGGCATACTGTCCCCGGAGCGGATCGGGTGCGTAGTCGTAGCCCCCGTTGGAGGTCAGGACGGGAGCCGACTTTCCTGGCTGATTCGAGTCCCTCGGCGACACTGAACTGGGCGGGGTCATGGCGTTGTGGTAGTCGATGGAGCTGTGGTAGCCCCCGTAGGTGGACACCAGGTTGGTGAAGGCATCGGCGGAGGTCTTCTGGCCACCGGGATGTCCTCCGGAGGCGGCGGAGTGCAGCTGCAGGTATTGGTTCTCGTAGGAGGACTCACTGCCCGGCGGCGTGGGCAGGGGACCCGTCTGCTGGTCGCCGTAAAAGACGCCGGGTCCCACCCCGGTAGGCGTTTGCCTAGCCGTCGCCCGGATCACGCTCTCGCGGTTGGCGTACAGTTGCCGGAGGAGAGCGGTGGCCGGCATGGGCGCCGGTGGCTGCTGGTAGGGTGCTCCTATCCATTGGATGGTGCTGCTCTTCTCGTTGGGATCCAGCTGCTGCTGCTGCTGTTGCTGTTGCTGCTGCTTCAGAAGAGAGTCAGCACTGAAGTCCGTGTTGGACGGAGCCACTGATACCACTGCCACCGGGGAGGGCAAGTGCTTGGACATGGCCTGCTCCAGATCCTTGACCGCCGAATCCGCTGCCGACGAGGGCTGCTCGTCCACAATCGAGGGTAGGCGACTGCGCGGCTGCTGATCCCGCTGCTCCATGGCCGGCAGTTTAGGCAGAGGCTGGTCGGGCATCACCTGCTGATCCTGACCCTGATCCTCGGCCTGCTGCGACGCCTTGGTTTTCCGCTTCCGCTTGGTGGACGGCACTCCGCTCGCCGAGCTGCTGCCATTAGGCGTGGCTGCTGGTACCGGAGTGGACACTGTGGTGGGCAGCACCCCCGAATCAATGTCCACGCCCAGCGGCGTGGGACTGTCCTTGATCATGGTGAGGCTATTCAGGCTGCTGCCGTGCGAGGCGGCTGCACTGCGTCCCCGGCCGCGATGCGAATGACCCTCGGGATCGGTTTTCGGTGAGTTGAGCTTCATGTCGCCGGCACTCAGGTGCGAGTTGCCCTCGCCACTGGCGTCTCCTCCTGGCGACCCACTGCTCTTGTCATTGCCCATACCCTCCTCGTGCTTTATGCTGTCCGGACTGGGTTCCAGTTGGCAGCAGTCCAGGATCATGTTCTCGTTCTCCCGGTTGCTGGGGGTGAAAGAAGGTCATTGGTTAGTGGGCTACACCTAGGAAATTTGCTGATCTAAAGCCAACCTAATCACATAGTTCACGCAGATGATGTTCTGCTCATCCGCGTTCTTGGTGCTGCAGACGACGGTGGCACAGGTCTGGAGCCAGGTGTAGCCCCCACTCTTGTTCATCAGTCGGTAGTAGCCGGTCAGCACTTGACCCTTTTCGATCACTGCAAAGTAAAGGATTGAAAGGATCTTTACAACTAGCTCCGAAGAAGTCTTACAAGTGGTAAACAAAATAGTACAATATACGGTTCAGGGATTGGAGTATATTGTAAAGATATTGTAAGATAAAGAAATCTAATCTAACAATTTGTAAATACAATTGGTGCACTAAGTTTAGTACAAACCATTCATATACTACAACTTGGGGTTGGATTTCAATCTATAGATAACCCATAGACTAGCTTACAGAATTCGGTAAAAAAACATTATTCTTGACATGATAAAAGACTTTTTTTTAACAGCTAAGGAAAATAGTGTTATTTTTTTATTTATATTGGTTCTACTTTAATAGCCTTATTTTCTTGCTATTTCCAGGTATTTGATGACCGAAATACTTACAGTCTGAGTGGCTCTTGCGCAGGCGATTGGCATCCTCGGCGTGACACAGTGAGTACAGGCTCTTGTTTACCAGATCTTCCGGCGTATAATCTAGCAGATCGGACACCCTAAGTTTTCGAAAACACTTCATTAGTTTAGAACAGATAGGAAGGATAGTACAAGCAGCATACCTTGGTTCGCAATGAGCCACTCGCAGGTCAAAGTTTACCCGGGTCACGAACATGTCGCACTCCAGTCGGATCTCGTGCACCGATGGCGGGGGCAATGCGATGGCCAGGGCAACCATTCCGAGGAGTGGGGGCTGCGATTTTCGGCTGTGGGAGAAGGTGTACTGGGGTCGCAGCTTGCACAACAGCAGAACCACCTGCAAAGGTTCCAAGTAAAGCCAAAATTCGGTTAGTTGGGGATCCTACTTATGGATGAGGTACTCCATTCAGGGGCTTAAGGTGTTGTATTCGGAGATGGAGGAAGGAAATCTTGGGCTTGGATATGAAACCTCTTACACTCAAAGGAAAGCGTTTATTGCTATTATTTTTCCAGAATATTGTGTAGGTGTTTTTATTGGACTATTTAAAAAATATTTTGAAATGGGCTACGTTAACATAAAGAGTATGGTTGGTGACCAAGAATGTTCCATAAAAATACAAAGTAATTAAAACTTTTTATCATCATTAATTTTTAAGTTTCTGTGGAACATGTTAGCAAAAACAACTAATAATTATAAATCCAAAATTTTCGAGTGGAAGAATGGCAAACAAAACTGAAGAATGTTGTAGAGCATGGGATGATTGCGGCGACGGCTGGTGGATAGATCGATTGATTGACTCATTGATTGGTGGATGATTGAAGCAGCTTCCGCACTAGTTATTCGATACTGATCAATCTAAAATCAGTCTGTGGCTTTGCCTTTATTTTTTTTAGCAAACACAAAAATTATGGCCGAAATTGTAGAAAAACTTAAAAAGCGATTTCCTCAGTAAATAATTTTGAGTAGGTTTTTGATTTTGCCTTGCATTTTAGCATACAAACGTACTGATTTCAATTGATACGTACCGAATAGTTTGAGCCCGGATTCTTAACGTTTTTAGCATTGTTACTAGCATTGTTACCGTTGTTGCAATTGCTCGTTGCATCGCTGGCCTGTAGATAAGCAGTGGATGGGATGGTAATACGTAATACAAAATGCAGGTATTGCAAGTTACACAACACAACCGAAAACGATTTCTATGGGTTAGTCTTACTGTTACTCGAAAGTCTTACATTAGAAACAACTCCTAGGGCCAACCAAAAAATTAAATAAAACGGAAATAAAAACATACAAATCACAATCCCCAAAACTATTCAGTTAGAAATATGACTACAAAGGGGGAACAACACAAATAAAAACAGTACAAAACTTAGAAAAAATTTGAATAAAGAAAGATTCTTTGGTGGATAGCAACGAAAAGGTTTGAAAACTCACCCGATAGCCTGAGGATTTGAAGTGACAGCCGCGCTTCGTCAAGGTGGACTTCATCCGGATGCAAAAGCTCCGATCGTAGCCTTTGTAGCCACTCGTCGAGGCTTGGGTCATGGAGGCGGCCACTGCGGCATAGAAAAGAGTTTTTGATTAGATTGGCTCTTACTTTGGGGAAACTTTCACTTGAGCGGACATAGATAGTCATGGTATGTCACGAATATCTGCAGATATTAAAGTATCGCTTGAACAGTCGCTGTGGATTGTAAAGGTGTCTAAAAGTATACAGTAAAATCCATCACACCTCCGCGTTGAAAATACTGTTGCATTCTTTAAGACACCTGAAATTATGATTTCAAAACTCTAGTGATTCCGTGTTTCTTCAAGATTGCATCTCAAACATCCAAAAGATTTCTGTGACATGCCATACGACTACTTTTTGTAACATCCATTTGGATCCCACCCGGCACCAGGGATTCATTCCCACACCTGGTCCATCGACAACTCGGACTTGACTCACCGTCGGGATTGTTCGTACCGTGTGTGCCGCTGCCATCGTCGGAGGCTCCGGAAGTGGGTGAGGCCATGCCCACTCCGGCTCCGCCGCCTCCACCGCCGCTGCTGGAACTTCCGGCGCCTCCTCCTCCGCCGCCGCTCGTGAGACTTAGGCCCAGTTGCTCGGCAATCTCGGAGTGATCCGCCTGGTGGATGTAGTCGAAGATGCTGCTGCCCGTCATCTCCACCTGCGACAGGCCCAAGTAGATGGACACCGTCTCGGAGATGTATAGGAAGCGTCCGTCGGCCGCCACAGCCAATGCGAAGCCATCCAGGGACTGAAGGAGATGGGATTACGAGAATATGGGAAAATTAATTTTCAGAAAATGAAAAGGGTCGTTAAGGGGCAGTTCTCTTTTGTGTATGATCTCAAGAAAGGTATAAATATATACACTCAAAAAAAAAATCACCATAAATATTAGAAAATCGCCCGTGATTTCAAAACGCCATTGAATTAAGAAATATTTTCTTGATTATAGAAAAAATGCCTACAATTTAAGGAATTCGCCATAATTTTTTTATTTTTTTTGTAATGAAGAAGAGGAAGAATCCCACTTTTTCTTCAATTAATGGCGAATTTTTCTTGATTTTTTTTCTTGAAATAATGGTAAATTCTTACTTAAATTTAGGAAAGAAATACCCATATTTTAAGAGAATGTGACTTTTTTTATACATTTTGATGGTGGTCTAGCTGGTAAAGACGTCCGGTCAATAAACAATCGAACAAAAGTACCTGGTTCGAGCCCACGCCACGGCAAGTATACCCTTTGTTTATTTATTTTTCTTTTTTTTTTTAATTTATGTAATTTTTATTCTTATTAGTTTCACTTTTCTATTTACCAAATTGTTTAAACGGTTGTTAAAAAGGTTTAGATTATAATAAACGTTATTTGTATGCGTAAAGCTGGACCAAAAGCACCTTAGCCCTTTTTAGTCATTGTATGACAAGAAGCACGCGTGGCCGAATGGTTAAGACGTCTGGCTATGGTGTGAGCAGTTGCGGGTTCGAGTTCACGCCGGGGTTGTCTGAGGTAAGGATTTTTCCATTTGTTATATTTATTTATATGTTTATAAAAAGTATTTATATAAAATAAATCTTTAATAAATTCAGGTAAATATAAAAATTTTCAGACTGTAGTAATAATTGCCATTAAAGTTAGAAACGGTTTTATCCATTTAAAATTCAACATTGGTATACAAAACCAACCAAATTCCTCAAATGTAAGGTGTAAAATGTAAAATGATGTAATCTTACATCATAAATATTTTTTTTCTTATTTTAATAAATTTTTCCTTAATTTTAAGGTTTTTTACCATACATTTAAGAAAAATTTGTCTTTATTTCCAGAAATGGCAAACCATAAATTCAAGAAAATTATTTATTTAAAATAAAGGTGAGTCGCCGTTGGATGAAAATCATAGGCGATTTTCTTGATTTAAAGGCGAATTTCTTGATTTAAGGGCGATTTTTTTTTTGGGTGTATTTATAACTTGAGGAAGTAGGGAATTGGTTATTGAATGTTCCATGTTTTTTTCTCTGTAAATTTAATCATATGCACAAGATGGCTGCGGGATATCCCTCTTTCTTTTTTCGGGCCTACTGCCGTCTCTTTTGCTACCATATCGACCATATCTCACCTGTAATATGTGGGTGCCCTGATGTTGTTCGAACAAATCAACAGCGGGACTGCGACGAATGGCGGCACCTGCGGATAAAAAAGAGGCGAAAGTGAAATGTTAGTGGTTGGAAAGTATGCAAATTAGTGTATATTGCTAGACATATCTCTAAACACTTTGCTAGATAACAAGCGTTTTACTCTTTTTGTAATTTATAAATGATAATTCATTTACATTCCATTGTAAATTAAATATTTAGTTCTGCATTAAATTGATTACTTTGAAGAGGCTTTCAATTAAAGAAAACAAATAAAAGTATTCCTTCTCCCACGAGGTTCTCAAGTGTTTCGGGATCCGTGAGCTATTGTTCACTTCATTCCGCCTCTGCTCTTGACCAAACTCATAAATGATGCGCCCTTGCCCCGCAGAAAAGACAACAACAACAACCGCAGGGCATCATAAATATGGGTTCGGGCATGGATATTCAATATTTTCTCAGCTGAGGTCCTTGCAAAGCTTATTTATTTAATTCAATTATAGAATTTTACGATTATGGACGACTGACCGACCGACCGGCCAAGTCATAATTCGCACAAGTGCAAATCGCCCCTTATTCCTGCCCCTCAAATCCCCAGCGATTTCCCAGTGGTCGAAGCGCTAAGTTGGCAAACAGTTTCCGCTTCCGCTCGGACATGGCCATATGTGGCTGGCGGTAGACCCTGCGGCCCTTAATGACCTTCCAGCACCACCCACCCGAGAAGCACCACCCAGTGCTCTTTTTTTCTTTTCTGCGAGGCTGTGGGTCAAATTGAAGTGCTTTTTATTGCCCCGCAGCTTGTTGCTCCTCATCCTCCAATGCACGCAGCTCCTTCTCCGGTTTCTCTACTACTTTTTCTGGGTTTAGTTTCGCATAATAATCCAATTGAATGGATGAAGGCGTTACGGCCACTCCACCGCCTTCCATACATAACGCCCCATTGATTTTGGATTATTTTTTAGTGCCTTGACTACCTTTTTGGCTTTTTGATGGCCCTCGCCTTCTCTCTCTGCCCGTTTCGTTTCGTTTCCACTCTGCCACTTTGCCAGTTAGCTTGGGAAGGGGAAAAAAATAACCAATGGGGATTTTATTTATTTTTACCCATATATCATTAAATAGGAAATTATTATAATTTATTTTATTTATTTAAAATGACTTGATTTAATGCATTTTTAGGTAAATGATTTTCAAATTCTGATTGTTTTGTCTAAACACTTTCATTAATTTTTCCAATATTTTTGGAAATTTTTCATATATAATTGCTTAGATAGAAATATTGTTTAAATGAATTTCCAAAACCCCTACATTTTTCTTTGAGTGCACTCGACCGTTGTCAGTTGGCAGCTTTTGAATACTGTCTGAACTGAGACCTGGCAAAGAAGT